GTATGTAGGTTACTATTCATATACATAATTTGAACGACTCTGATGCTTTGCATTGTTGTGTTATGAATTCATATTCACTTTATTGTTGCAAAACACCTGTTTGTCGTATTTGCTTTGGGGTGATTGTGTAAATCTAAAGTATATTCAAATAAGCTTTGTTATGAAACCCTCAGGATTAATACTTACACTAGCTAGCAGGTAGATATACATATATAAATAAGTAAAACATACAAAGTAACTCTTGAAGATTTATTATAATATGTAAATGTATGCGCCTGTGTGATATTATGATATTTCTTTGGAAAATGCCAATTGAGCTTCGCATGAAAAAAATGACAACTTTTAAATTGAATTTTTGTGGCGATTTATGTATTTTTATTTTGTACATATAGGTCCACGTTTTCGTATAGCCTCTATACAACCGTACCTGTCGATATTCAGTATTTTGAAGATTTTAGTCACATTTTTATACCCTCCACCATACTATAGAGGGTATATTAACTACAAAGACACTACGAAGTATATATATTCTGGATCAGCGTAAAACTCTAAGACGATCTAGCGATGTCCGTTTGTCTGTCTGTCCGTCTGTTTGTTGTAATCAAGCTATATTTCGAACGAGAAGGCTAGAATTTTGCACACATGCAAAGTTTACCAGTAGGCAGGTTCAGTTCGTAAATGGGCCATGTCGGTCCACGTTTTCGTATAGCCCCCATATAACGGTACCACCCGATATTCGGTATTTTCATGATTTTAGCGACATTATTTACCGGAATTGTTTCAAATTTCGTATTTGAAGTTCGTAATGGGTATTACAGCCTATGACAAAAATTTGTGTAGGCAAGTCCACGTCTTCGTATAGCCTACATATAATTTTAATTTAGGTGGTAGTTTCCGTATTTTTTTTATAGACATTGAATATTTTGGTTCACGTTTTCCTGTACAGGGAAACAGGTTGAGATAAAAAAATTGCAACAAAGTCAAACGCCATAATTTTTACTTTTTTTAATTTTATTGAATAAAAACAAAAAATGTCGAAAATGGCATCAAATTTTAGAATAATTTTAGATTTGTTCGAATTGGTCACCATTGGCACGAATTATGGCCTTCAAACGGGCAATGAAATCGTCACACGCTGCCCGAATGCTGTTCTGCGGTATTTTTGATCCATTTCCGGCGAAGCACTTGCTTGAAGAGATCGACACTTTCGCATTTTTTAGTGACAACCTTGCTTTTCAAAATACTCCAGACACAATAGTCCAACGGATTGGTATCCGGAGATTTTGGTGGCCATTATGCGCTGGAAATGAAGCGAAGAAACTCATTTTGTAACCATTCTTGGGTGGCGCGTGCTGAGTGCGATGGTGCTGATACCTGTTGGAATGTTTAAGGTCTGCGGCCAAAATGTTTATTAAATACACCCTCCAAAATATTTTCGCGATAATATTTGGCATTTATTTTGATGCTACGGTCGATTAATACGTGCGGAGAACGACCATCTGCTGTTATGGTGGCCCACCATCAACATTGCGTGGGCCTGAGTTCTGGTGGCTAACCGAAGGTGCACATTTTCAGCTGACTTCTTGGGCAAGTAAACACGATCATTTTGTTTGTTTACAAACTGCTGGACAACGAATGCATTCTCATCGGAGAAAACTAATTTCCGCAGTTCACCACTTTCAGCCAAGCGAAGCAACTCTTTAGCTCTTTTAAGTCTATTTTGTTTCTGTTGCGGTGTAAGTTCTTGCACTTTTTGGAATTTCAATGGCTTTACCCCGACCTCATTTGTCAATATTTGCCGACTGGAATATTGCGATATGTCCAGCTCACGAGCAATTTTTCAGCCACTGCGACGCAGGTTTCGATCAAGTCGCTTCTTTACTTTTCAAACCATTTCTGCTGATGTTGCTGTTTTCTTCCGTCTCCCGTCCACTTCCTTGACGTCGGGCTACGCTACCAGTATCACGGTAACGAGTGATGGTACGAGACACAACAGATTTATTCACTTTTAAATACTGGAGTACTCCAACCACAGCCCCTTGTGGTTTTCCAGCCAAATATTAAGAAATCACACTATCACGCTTGAATTCCCTCACGAATAACTTTTTTCTGGAAAAGTCTCACCAAAATGCTTGTTTTCAATGTGTGGCAATAACTCGTGTTTACACAGCCACACCGATTGAGTTCCGGAATGTTGTACGATAACAAAATACGGGAAATGTTATAAACCACAAAAATAACTCGGTCTAACAATATTCTCTTCACAAATAATATACGATAACTCTCAAGTTTTCACTCATTTCCTTGCAAAATACGTTATTAGCAGATGTGTGCGAAAATATATAAAATACTCAACTTGTTGCATATTTTTAGGAGAGCGCAGTATCACAAATGGAGAGATTAACTCAAAAGCAATAGCAAGCAATGCTTTGATATGTAAAGGAATGTTAGAAACTGGAGTATAAGATGTCCTTGAAGCACGTGCACTTCGATACTCTCTAAATATTAACAAAATTGATGGTATTTGTATTTCATATTCGTTACACGAAATAAGACCATTCCTCCTTTGCATGGCGGGATTAGGGCAGTGAGAGAATGCCAGGATTCCCAATTTTAACCCATTCATGTGTAAAATGTTACTTATGATTTCAAAAAATAAATTACTTTAGATGGTCGTTATGGGGGATAGAAAGGCCTATGGGATAGAACTTTGAAACAAAAATTTTGAATTTCCATTTTAGGTCTTTGCAACTCATCCCTCACTTAATTAGTTCTCATGCACTTTACCTTGCCCCGTCATGTATTATGCGTTTTCTGATGTAATTCACCTACAATTTTTATTATACCCTACACCACATAGTGGTAAGGGTATTATGTCTTTGTGCATTTGTTTGTAACATGGAGAAGGAAACGAGATAGACCCATAGTTACTTTTGAGAACCTTCATAGAATCGCTTTCTGAGTCGATTTATGCATGTCAGTCCGTCTGTCCGTCCGTCTGTCCATGTATTCTTGTGAACAAAATGCAGGTCGCATTTATTATCCGATTGAGATGAAATTTTCCAAACAATATTTTTTTGGCCCAAGGACGAACCCTATTGAAGTTGGTGAGAATCTGATCAAATTTAGATATAGCTCCCATACATATCTTCATCCGATTTCGGGTTAAATGTGCACCAAATATTCACTATCAGTCCGAATTACCTGAATTTTGGCACACCCAACCGAGTTCGGCCTAGAAGCAAGTGTATCAAATTTGGAGAAAATCGGTTCAGATATAGCTATAGCTCCCATATATATCTTTCATCCGATTTGATCTTTAAGTCCCTCACATTCCTACAATGCACTCCACAACCGTGATATTTGGTACCAGGTATTAGATGGAGCACAGAAATAGCTGTTTTAAATTTTATCGAAATCGGTTTAGATTTGGATATAGCTCCCATATATATCTTCATCCGATTTCGTGTTAATTGACCACCAAATGGCCAATATCAGCCCAAATGGCCCGAATTTTGGCACATGTGACCGAGATTAGCCTTAAAGCAAATACAACAAACTTGGAGAAAATAAGTTCAGAAACAGCTATAGCTCTCATATATATCTTCATCCGATTTCGGGTTAAATGTGCACCAAATGTCCACTATCAGTCCAAATTATCTGAATTTTGGCACATCCAACCGAGTTCGGCCTAGAAGCAAGTATATAAAATTTGGAGAAAATCGGTTCAGATATTGCTATAGCTCCCATATATATCTTTCATCCGATTTGGTGTTTAAGCCTCTCACATTCGTAATATGCACTCCACAAGAATGATAATGATATGATACCAGATATAAGATACAGCCCAGAAATAGCTGTTTGTAATTTTATCGAAATCGGTTCAGATTTGGATATAGCTCCCATATATATCTTCATCCGATTTCGGGTTAATTGTGCACCAAATGGCCGATATAAGTCCAAATGGACTGAATTTTAGTACATCGGACCAAATTCAGCCTAGAAGCAAGTATATCAAATTTGGTGAAAATCGGTTCAGATATAGATATAGCAACCATATATATGTTTCATCCGATTTAGAGTTTTAGTCCCATACATTCGTAATATTCACTCCACAACCGTGATATTTGGTACCAGGTATTAGATGGAGCACAGGAATAGCTGTTTTAAATTTTATCGAAATCGGTTCAGATTTGGATATAGCTCTCATATATATCTTCATCCGATTTCGGGTTAAATGTGCACTAAATGGTCAATATCAGCCCAAATCACCAGTCTAGAAGCTAATACGTAAAATTTGGAGAAACCCGGTTCAGAGATAGCTATAGTTCGTAAAATGCACGATAGAATTAGATAGATTTTTAATTTTGTACCAAATATCTCATAGAGCTCTGAAATGCCCTGTATAAACCTTTTTACGTGAGCTTTACTAAATATGCATAGTGGTGCAGGGTATCATATAGTCGGCCCCGCCCGACTTTTGAGCTTTCCTTACTGGTTTTTTAAGTATCACGTTCATTTTTTCTGGTATGTTTTTTTTTTTCTTTTTAAAAAAATAGATTAATTGCCAATTAGTTTTTGTCGATGGGGATTTCCATTTCATTCTAATCTCGAAGGAAATATTGTTCGTGCAATGGCAATACTGCCCCATGCAAATGTAAACAAAACAGAACAAATTGAGTATATCAAAGAGAGAAAGAATACCGGGCTCCAACATTTGCGTTTAACTCTTTGTTGTCCCCATTTTTGTTGTTCGATATAAAGAAAAACATTAGCTGGTGTAAATAGCTAATATTTTTTAAAATATTATTTTTATAATTTCCTTTAATAACAGCAGAACTCATTGTTTTTATTCCAATAGCAAGCAAGGCTCTGTCTCCCTCATGTAAAACCCACTCAATATTTCTTGCTCTCATTTGTGTTGGGGCTCTCCCAAGGCAATCACATTCATTCTCCATTCACACTCATTCGTCACTCAGTCGTATTTTGTGATTCGTTGCGTGAATAACATTGGTCGGGTGGAGTTATGTCGGTTGTTTTGTGTGATACAAATTTGCACGCTTTGATGTTAACTCTCAGTGAATTTTGTGAATTGTGTGTTATAAAAACAACAGGAACAGATGAACAAGTGTCATAACCAGGAGAAACCCAACAACAGCGGAAGAAGTGTTAAGACAGAATAAATGAAAACATTGCAATAATAACTTAATATTTTGCGAAATAATTAAAAAAATAACTTGGCCCAAGTATATTGTGCTCCATACCACAGAAAGATAACTACCCAAAATCAGCGAGATTTGGATCACAAATGAGAAAAATATCAACAAGAGAAAAAATAAAATAATTCTCCCTGTCTTCTGAATTCCTAAAAGTAGGCTATGAAATAAACAAAACAAACAAAGAAAATCAATAAAATAAATATAATAAAAAATTTCAAAAATGAAGGAATCATTTGAATCTTCTGACAAAAAGAGAAAAATTTAAACCTTCGAAATATACGACAACAAACTCCGTAATCATATTTTTGATTCAATCAATGATGACAATCATTGCAAAATAATCAGCAGCAAACAGAAATGGGATAATTAGAAAAATTGGCATCCTTTCAGCTATTCGCAAGACATAAGATGGTGCAGCAATTATCTGAGCGCAGAGACTGTCAAAGATTCTTTTGTGGATTACCTTAGCAATCTTTGTGCTCTGCTCATGCTTCGGTAGATGTCATTCTTGAGGTAAGATTTTTATTTATTTATCATCAAATAATGTAAAATTGAAATATTAAAAAAAAATTTTAACTGCCTACCATCGCCATTTCTCTATACCTTAAGGTCAGCTTAAAAGTCATAGAATTTTATGATTCCTACCAGAGGGCTGCAATGAGTATGATCGAGTAGGCTTGATCACACACACTGGAAATACAATCAAACTCAATCAGTCGGTCAAATGTAACATGTTCATTCGAGTAGCTCAAGCCAAATGAAAAAGTGGTGATCGAACATGTATTGATCGAAGTTTTGTGTTCGCAATCAAACAGCTCACATGAATGTTTTGTTTACGAACTAATGTTGAACAATACATACCGAAACGATCATCTCGGATGAATATGATCGGTTTGATTTTTTTTGAAGGGTGAGTGATTTGATTCGATTAAATACGAAAGATCGAATCTGAGCGTAATCATGTATTGTAGTTTTGGTATGGTTATCAATACTAGAAGCAGTACCCATTGAAGAAATCGAAACAAATGGTATTTATTAAATAACGATTTTTTATTTCATTTGGGCATATAGTATACCAGACTTCAGTGGCTTATTTCTAAAAAAGAACACATTATTTCTAAAAAAATAACAAAAAATCCGACTTCAGTCACTTATTTGTAAAAAAGGAACACATTTTTCAAAAAAGAAAAAAATAATAATAATAACAAAAAATATATTTCAGTTGCTTATTTCTACAAAAGGAACATATATCAGTCTTTAGTATTTAGTTCAATTTTTGTTAAAAGAGTTTAAAAACATTAAACTGTCAACAGCTCTCAGCCCAATACTGTTCCTTTTCTCTGTAATATAGTTCGTCAAAATTACCTGCGCAGGCTTATTTGGATGAACAAACAATGACGCTGAGCGAATTCGATTCAAAGAAAACAATCACGGTTGTGATTGCTCATTTACATTCATGTGTTCGATCAATTCACGTTGCTGAACACATCAAACCGTCTCGAACGCTCATGTTTGATTGGAAGTGATGTGATTCAAACTGAGCGTTCGATCCGATCCGAAAACGGTCAATTCATTCAGATCAAACAAAACGACTGCATCAACAAAAATCATGTAAGAAACCGAGTGTGGTTGAATTTATGCATACTCGTTGCAGCCCTCTGATTCCTACATGATGCGTGCTAGGGACCTAAATTGGCAAAAACTTCACAATTGTTTGAAATATGCTGACAAATTCGTATTCCGTCCCCTATGTTGTAGGAGTTTTGCAACACTTTGAAAGCTAGCACCGACAAATCCCCAATATTTGGTATTTTAACGAAACTAGAGACATTATAGACCGAATTGTTTCAAATTTCTTAATGAGTTCTACAGACTATGGAAAAAATTGCGTATGCAGGTCCACGTCTTCGCATAGTGCACATATAAAGGTGCCTCGCAATATTCGGTGATTTTAGAAACATTATTCATCGGAATTGTTTTAAATTGCGATTTTAAAGTTCGTAATGGGTACTACAACCTATGGCGGAAGAGTACTATGCAGTTCCACGCTTTCGTATGGCGCCCATATAATGGTTTTCATTTTAGCGGCATCGGAATAATAATTTTAGATCTAACAAACTGTATATATTCTTGATCAGCGTAAAATTCTAAGACGATTTAGCCTTTCCGTCTATTATAATCAGGCTAGTGTCAAAACGCATTAAGATAGGAAACTAAAATTGTGCATAGACCAGTATTTTGTATGCAAGCTGGTCAAGTTCGAAGATGGCCTATATCGGCCTACGAGAGCTCATTTCCCACATACAACGGTACCCCCGATATTCCGTATTTTGATGATTTTAGACACATTTTTCAACGGAATTATGGGAAATTGTACACAAGGAGTTCTTTTTTTGAGTATTTTATACCCAAGAAGAGTGTTGTTTATATAGGTCCACGATATCCTAGTTCCCCCAAATAACGGCACTTCCATATTGGTATTTTGATTATTGTAGTTTTCGAATGAGATTGTCCGAAAATCGAGGAGTTTCTTCTTAACCCCTAGATAAGAATTGACCACAAAGGTCTAGGAAATCGTACAGCCCCAGAAATATTTCAAATTTCGTATTAAAAGTTCGTAATGGATACTACAGCCCACATATAACGGCACCTTGCTTTATTCGGTATTTTGATATTTATCGGAATTAAAAAATATATATATTTATGGAGGACCACGTCTTCGTGGTATTCCTTTGAGTGGTATTTTCGACGAATTTGTTTTGTATTTTTTCAAGTTCCTCCAAAATGATGATGGATATTAAAAGTTCGGCTCTCAAAGCTTGTATGTGTAGACGACGACAACAGCGTAATGTTACAAGAAAACAGAAATAGATAACATTGACAAATTCAGGGTTTTCCACTACTAATGAATAACTTGTTTACTATTAAATTACCCTCAGCTCTGATATCCATGCCAATTTTCAACTCTAAATCTCAGTATATCAATAAACAAATTCGTATAAGGACTATAGGCTTATTATAGACTTTAAACGAGCTTTAAAAATTCATATTCCACCAATTTGTTTATTTATTATTTTTTTTTTCGTTATATTATTAGTGGAGTGAACCATGGGCTTGTCGCTAATGTACATGTCTATGCAGCATTCCCCTACATAAATTCAATATTGACAAATAACAACTGTTTATTTACATCATCTGACCCAAAAATATTTCATGCTATGCGATTTCTCAATCATTGATTAGAATGCTATTGCAATTGTGATCCCCTTTATCGTTTAGTGTAAATCAAATATTAATCAACGACTCTCGAATTGAAATGCATTTTCAATTTCATATATGAAAAAACAATTTTCATTTGCAAATATGTTGGTTGCTAACAACATTTTGATAATTGTACATGCATATTCGTCGGGAGTTTGAGACCGTGGAATGCGGATGCTTGAATATATTAGTTTTTTTAAAAATTAAGGGATATAGGAAAAAATGTATCCAAAAATATTGTTCAACGTTTTCTGCCAAAATATCAACCTGATCGTCGAAGCTACATCCGCATTAACTTAATAAAAATAGCAATGTATCCCATTCAGATGAGAAAAGCATTCACTTAAGTTCTGCAAGTGAATTTTTTGATGTGCTCAAAAATTCACAATTTGACTCATTTTTTGGTAAAGAGTCACATACCACCAACTCGTGGTATCTGCATCCTAATGTTTGTCAATGATATTTATCCAACAAAGATACTGACACACGCGTAGCCCACTCATATACATACAAAATATTGGCACAATATCCTTCAATAACACATGGATGCCAGCAGTACCCGAGGCAGTACCCAATTCTAACCCAAAAAAAGAAAAAAATTGAACAAACTTTGTATTATTTTCACAGTTGACCTCTTCTAACCAACCATGGTCATGGTGGTTACTCTATGGATTGACATTGTTTGTGTGGTAAATACCATACATGCAGCGATCTGTGGCATGCATTGCTGCCTGTGAGATACATAGATTGCTGTTAATGCATGTATATCTCGAGCAGCAACGACAGCCGTAGGAGGAATACTACAGTCATCTATCCCTTTCGGAGTAGTGGGATATTAGTTTTCGTTTATTGGTTATTCTATCTAGCACGTCAGAGCATCAGGCTTGATGATTGGGTGGTGGTCCTGCTCGAGATATGTTGCAGTGGTAGCCACTTGCAGACAATAGCGTCAGTAAAATTTGTTTTTTTTTTTTTTTTTGTTCTTGCCTTTTCTATGATTGTGCATCAATGCACCAAGTAGAATTTGGTAGAAGGCAGCCCCATAGTTTAACTGTATCGACCACCAAAACATATTTATTTGAGTGCCTAAATAAAATACACATGTTTCCACATGAAGTACCATCCATGGTCGGCAAATATTTTTTGTCGCTTCGTTTTGGTTTTGTTGTAAATATTTTCAAAGCCAGCCTGACTAGCAAGCAATCAATGTAAACTGATACTTTATTTTGTAATTTATTTAGGCGCTGAACTTTATTGTTGCTGCCATTACTGCGGCCAAAAATCGCTGCATTGTCGTTGCAATGCTATCCGCTATGGGCTAAACCAAATTTACAATGCATTTCAAATATTTTATGGTCTAATTTAGCCATAGCCTCATCATGTACATAACATCATTTTAGTTAAGACAATAATGAAATTGCAAATCCATAACCAAAAATCAAAATATAAATCAGATGGACAGTGGGATTGAACCGACTAAAAATTGGCAATCGAAAAAGTCACTTTACGACTTATAGAGTAATGAACAAAAAAAAAAAAAAAAAAAAAAAAAAAAACATTAAATTCAGCCGGTCCGAATTTTTAACACCCTCCACCTTTGGGTAAAGAAAACATTTTAAATTTTGAAAATTTGGATCTGAATTCAAACGTGTTCCGCTTTAAACTACAAATACCAGTAAGACCACTTGGTTACATGCCTAAGTGTGTAATAATTGAAATTTTAATAAGATTTTTAAAAATATTTTTTTCTATGAAGTAGATTTTTGGTAAAGCTTGGTGACTGGGTCATCTAGTTAAAATTTGTTACAGATTTTCTTGAAACATCACAACTTCATGAAGTCCACAATTTAGTACAACCTTCGTACATTACAAAATAAAATAAATACCAATATCATCAATACCTTGGGTAGTATTTGGCCCGTATATACAGATAAAAATGGTCATATATTTGTATATAAACCGACTTCTAACTTTTTATACCCTACAACCAGTAAAGGAGTTAAATTTTTGCTGTTTCAGTTTGTCATATTTTTATCGCATGAGATTTTTTCATTTTGACTTACAATTTTGAGTTGTGTATTTTGTAATATTTTCTCATCGTACAACACTATGTGTTGTCGTATTATATTCAGGTCGCAATTTTCATCTGATCCTCACGAAATTTTGCATGGGGGTAGGGTTATGGTCAGAATCAAAGTCTACTGTTTTTTTATACCCTACACCACAAAGTGGTCAGGGTATTATGTCTTTGT